AAAACAGCATTATGAAGTACTGTAGTGCTGCAGAGATTCCCTGGTTCTCCAGATTTCTAGTGTTTTGTCCACCACATATATAAAAAAAAAAAAGGATAGGGGGTGAGGAGCATTTGCAGTCCACCAACACTAACTACAACCTCAGTAATAAACACACAGTTGAATTAACACCTCTCAGAAAGTTTTGACAAAATTTGGCCATTACATGCTTCATAAAGGTTGAATATGTGGTGGAGCTAACCTAATAAACCTAACCTAATAAAGCAGCCAGGGAGTGTGTTTTCATAATTGAAAGAGACAGTACCGACCGTGCATCTGTGTGAATTTCAGTGTATGTGTGTGCGTGTGTATGTTATGTTCACAGTGTCTGTCTGTGTATGCTTGCATGCTTACAGTATGTAATTATTGGATTATATGCATGTGTGAGCACATCCATCTGCATGCATACCTTCTGTAAGTAAAACTATAATAGACTGTAATAATAACATACTATAAAAGGGGTAAACAGTGATAATATATTCAGTGTGTGCATGTTTGTGTGTGTGTGTGTGTGTGTGTGTGTGTGTGTGTGTGTGTGTGTGTTTGTGTCTGTGTGTGTATAGGTGTGTTTGTGTGTGTGTATTTGTGTGTTTCTGTGTCTGTGTGTGTATACGTTCGTGTGTGTCTGTGTGTGTCTGTGTGTCCCAGTGGGTTGTTTTGGGAAGTGAAGGGTTATAGTGCTGAGTGCTGAGTAAGCGGTACAGGACCAGAGCTTGGAGACTGCAGTGCTGCTGGCAGCAACACACACTGATCTGAGCTCAGACTGATAGTCAGCAGAGGGGGGAGGAGAGGCGGGGAAGAAAAAGGCTCTCAGCATCAAACAAAACAAAAAATATGTATACATACCCTTGGATGTACACTATTAGCATGTATGTACAGTCAGACTTAGCACATCACACAAACTTCCACTCACACAAACAAATATGACACAACTGAGGCACAGCAGAGTGTGAATAATGTAAGCTCCCATACACACAAATGCACTACATACACATACACATGCACAGGGGTACAACACAAATGTATAAACATGGTGTATTCACAGAGGGACACTATTATCTGTCTGTGTTATAGAGCCTTAAAAGACACCTCATGAATACAGCCACATATATCTCCATATGCTCTTTAACATAGACACATGCTCATACAACAGGAACACACTTAATACACACACACACACACACACACACACACACACACACACACACACACACACACAAGCACACATACTGCAAGACCATATAAGCCCGAGCCCACACCCCGACAGACACACTGCGTCACAGCCAACAATCAGAGCCAACAGCCTTGTTTACTCCCTCTAACCTGTGTGCCACTTATTGTGCTAGAAAAGCCCTCATCTTCTCCTCCCGCCCACTCCTCCGCTCCCACTCTCATCCCTCCGCCGTGCTCCCTCCCCATCCTCTGAGTCACCCTCCGATGCTCTTTCTCCATCCCCCCACCCCCTCTCCTCTCCTCGTGTCCTTTCGCCTTCCATTCCCTCGCTGTCAGTCCTCTCCTTCCCTCATCTCTCTTGAGTGTCTCTGCTGGGCTTTCTGGGATGTTTGGCGCTTTCTGTTCAATGCTTCTCTTTCTGTATACCATCACATATGTGCGTGCCTCTTTCTACCTCCTCTCTCTGCTGTCATTCCTCTCTCCTCCTCTGCCTCTCTCTCATCGCTTTCATCAATTCCCTCTCTTTTCACATCCTTGTCATCAATGGTATTGTGACTATGTATATTTAAACAATCCAGGCCCTGTATTACAAACCTCAAAGCCGCTACCCCTCCTCAGCCCCTCTCTGCCCGTATATTTGATTATATAACTGTGTCCCCATGGACCTTGAGGACACTGCAATCTAATTTTATCTAGTGATGGTGGTGGTGATGATGGGGGTGTGCATCAATGCGACATTTAACACAGAAAAGGATGTCTATTTTCTCAGATGATTCCTGAAATGGACATCAACAACTAAAAAATACAACCCAAACACTACTCGGCTCCAGTCAGCAACCCTGGAGCCATTCATATATTCATAGTTCCTCAGGGCAAGGACAAAGCAGGTAAGACTAAGGTGAAAAATCCTACAATGGCTCTCTTTTCGACAGTCTGAGAGGCTAACATGACAACAGTAAACACACATGGCTGCCATTTTGATGTCTTTCTGTGCTAGAAACACAAGAGCTCCCTCCAAGTTTTTTTCTGTTCTCCCAGCCTAATGAACAAGCAATCCCCTGCATTGCTAAATTTGCCAAACAGCGCCATGCGCTGGTTGCAACGTGGAACTGCAACTGGCTGGAGTGCAGTTGTTTTCTGCCAGCAGCTTGATGTTTTGCAGTCAGTGCCAGCAGCATCAAGGACCACCAGTAGTGGAATCAAATACAGCAGCATTAAGGAGGCCTAGTGACAACTACTCTGAGTGAGTCACTGACAGTAAGAGGTAATCATTTGATGAGTACTGCTGTGATTGCACTACATTTCTAAGTGTATGTTTCACACAATATTAAGAATGTTCCAGTAAGAAAGAAAGAAAAAAATGAAAGAAAGAATGTAAAGAATGTCATTCTTAGAAAGAAAGGGAAAAAGAGACAGAAAACATTTACTAAAAAAGAAAGACAGAAAGAAAAGAGGAAAATAATGACAAAAAGAAATATTGAAAGAAAGGTAAAAGTTGCAAGGAATGAAAGAAAGAAAGGAAGAAAGAGAGAAAAAAATACTAAAAAAGAAAGAAAGCAAGAGAAAGAATGAGAGTGAAAGGAAGAAATAAAGAAAGGATACATAGAATGACTGATATAAAGAAAGGATACTAAGAAAGAAATATAGAAAGAAAGGAAAGGATGTAAGGAATGTTAGAAAGAAATGAAGAAAGAGAAATAGGAATGCTAAAAAAGAAATAAAGGAAAGGAAGAAAGGGAGAGAAAAGGGTACTAAAACCAGAAGAAAGAAAGAGGGAGCAGGTATTCATTATCAAGGCCCCAGCCTCTGTCCTATCAGCTCCTCAGCAGCTTCCTCCTGCCACTTCTAACAGACTCTTCATGTCACTGCAGCTCCAGCCACTGCAGAGTCAGGGGAGGATTTCAACCAACTTCCTAACTGCAGTATGTACTTACAGTAGTTCAGTCACAGCCTGCAACACCAAAACTGTTCTTCTTTGGATACTTAATACAATACCCATCTAACTGGGCCTGTTAACGGTTTGGATCATTTTACTTAGTTACGCTGAGTAAGTGTAATGCGTAACACTTCAGTTGACCTTGCAGGATATTTAAAGCATAGGTTGACAGTTTTTCAAGTCCGTCTTGAATCAATGGTCAGGAGCCCACATGAACGTTGTAACAGGTTCTGGTTGCTGTAATCATTTCTCATTAAGAGACCCCTTCCTGATGTGCTTCCAGTATAAGTGATTAGGGACAAAGTCCATAGTTCTTTTTTATAAGGACTACGGTAACCTAAAAAGGGTCTCGGGATAAACTTGATTTGGTGCTAAACAGTAAAGGGAGTGACCCCCAAAAAAACCCCATTTCAATGTCCATATGACTGTTGTTTTACGAAAAGAAACAACTGTAAACCTATCCTTTAACTTTCAGGGCCACAGCAACCAGGTTGAAAGTAAGTACAGTAGCCACAAATTCCATATTTATGTACAAAATCTTTATCTGTATATGTTCAGTGTATTGACAAATATATATCTGTCCAGTTTTGCTTTTCTTTGAGACACAAACTGTCCCTGCTACCCTGAGTGGGTATAAAGTACTTCACTGTGTGCATATAATACATATTTTCAAGAAGAAATTTAAGAAAAAGTTGATCATTAATAAAAGCACATACTACCATTGGTAAGTTTCCCTGATGAAATTATACAAGTACAATCCTACTGACAATTTCTGACTATCTATTGATGTTGCAAGTTCTGACACTAGATGATAAGAATGTCCAGCTGATTAAAGCAGCAGTGATGAAAATAGATCCATCCAAAATAAATGCAGTGTCCATAACCGTTAGGTGGCCAGCCAGCTCAGGTAACAGACTATAGTGTCTCTCTCTGCCTAACCTCCTTTTGCTCTAGTCTGTTGTTTTTGCCAGGTCCAGCGTTTTCCTCTGGATGTTCTGGCTGAAAGGCATCATGAAGTCATCAAAGTCCAACTCGAGGGATAAGAGCTCCTTCCGTCTTTCTATTTTTGACATCAGCTGGCTGGTGGTGGGTGGCTTCCCCCAAACCTGAGACAGAAAGACAAGTCACAAAGAGATACCGACAGAGACTGCAAAGTGTCTGCAATTAGTCAGTAAGTTGGGTACAACACTGAACCAATGTGCTCTAGTGGGAACACTGTAGAAGTGTGCTCAAGTTACCATATACATCTACTGCTTTTCTTACAGATGTTTGGTGAGGAGGCAGACTCTTCAGACTGATTGTAAAACGTACATGAATGGATCCTTCACTAAGAATCTTTATTTTATTAACAATGAAAGCAGCTTTTTCAAGTGTTTCTGGATTGGAAACTTGTTTACCCTATCATGTTAATGTATTCATCTCTTGTAACAATAAGAAGCAGAAATAAAATGACATAAATGTAAATAATAAGGCATTTGTAAACATTTGGTTAAACCAGCCGTTTTCATAATGCGACCATATACAGCAACATCTACAACTAATATGGCTGAGTTGAAAAGTTTAAAATGCATCAAAATTGGGGAGGAACAGAGGGATTTTATTGGATATTCAAGCAAGTTAGGACAGGAAGGAATAACCTTTGCTAAGCAAGCAGATGCTACAGTCTGTTGAGGCGACCCTACCGTTTTTGGCACAAAGGTGATATCCACTGTGTTGGTTTTCCCCGTAGTGATCCTGGTGTTTTGCAGGATCACACTCTTGGAATCCTTCTGCGGTGAAGTCCTTCCTGTTGTTGCACTCGATCTCTCTGCCCCTCCAGCAGAAACGACCTGCAGGGGACACCAAGCTTTACAGATTTGCATTGTTCTATCCAAGCAGTTGCTACAAATTAAAGGTCTAAGTGACAGATTCAGTTCAGTCAGAGAGAGAGAGAGGGTAGTGAACACACTTTAAAGACAGCAGACATATAATAAATAAACAAATATTTAGGTCACAAAATGGAAGTGTAAGGGAGGTCCAAGCTGAAATTGCAGTTGTTAAGGCCATGAAAAGCACCAACTAAATGGTAACTGTGAATTTAAAACAAAATGTAAACATTAACGATAAGCTTGGTTAGGGTGTAGGTTGTATCAGTGATACAGATACTCACTGATCAGCTGGACAAAACATTAAGCTTTTTTTCTTTACAAAAAACTGCAGTTATATGGCAAAAGTTATTTCTTTTCTTGCCTGTAGATAGTGCACATCCAGATGTTTACATCCGCTTTTCTAACCTGCTGCTGCTGTGACTCTCTTGCCTGTCTGTGGTGCAGGCTGGGCTGGCACTAAAGGTCCTGTGCCTCTGCAGATGGGTAATATCACGTGTATCCTTTCAGCTATGTACTTAAAAAACAATTTACTTACATAACAATGACCATATTTTCTCATTTACAGGATCAACACAGAACATTTATGATCGTAGGTGTGATACCCAGAGCATCTGACTGATTATCACAGGATCACAGGCTCAAAGCAGTATGTGAGCATTACATTGGAATGACAACCATGTACTTTGACTTAAGGGTGCATGCATTATTTACGGTCAGTGATTGACTTGCTTATAAGTTACAGTGGATGGAAGTTTAATAGTTTCACACATTCTGCCATTCTGCCTCTGATCATATTCATTTGTCATTTATTGCAGACCAATTTGGCAAGAGCAGAAACAGGAAGTGGGCTATATTGCCCCATTACCTTCCTCAGTAATTTATTCTGTTTGATGGACTTTTTCTTGCCCCCCAGAATTACTGCTTTCAGCTTTATTGAACTATGAATTTTCCTGATGAATTTGTGCTACGGCACCACCTGCTATTTTCAGAGGCCTTATGACAAAATCAATACATTTTGTCAGATTTTAGTCTGATATTAGGAAATGCATACGGAGGCTCCAATGTGTTCTAGTTGTAACATAACACATCTGGTTTAATTTGCTTACAAGTTACTGCCTTATAGCAATCAGATCTCTTTACAGGCTTAGGTTTCTAAGCTGGAGGGAAGGACACAACTGAAACCCAAGGTGGAATATTACCTCCACTCCTTTGTTGGTAAACATCATTAAAGGTGTGTTCAGATGGCAACTGCCACTTTGTTGAACAGTTGACAGTTTCGGAGCAACATAAGTTTCAAAGTCTGATTATATTGTCAGGGACAATAAACGTGTATGATACTAGTTAGCTAAACTTGCTATATTAATCTTTTCATATTGCTAACCATTTCCTCTATTTTAAGCTACAACCCACCATATTTAGCTATGCAAAGAGTGTTAGCTGCAGCAACCGCTAGCTGTCTGAAAGTAGGTAGAGGTATGGATGCATAATATATATATACTATGTACAGGTCTGGTTTATACCACAACCCTGCGATTTATGACTTTAGAGGAAAGAAAAGCTTTATTTCCATGGGTTTTGTGGAAATTTCAAAGAAAAGAGTTTTAAAGTTTGAAGCCACAAGATTTTAATATGTTTATCACAGGCTGGTAAAAAGATTTTAATGAAGTTACTTGGGTACCTTTCCTTTAGCAGGTTTAGGCTTTTGAGTTTTGCCCCCCTTTCCCTTTGCATTTTCCTTTGGTTTAGGCAGAGAATCCATCTTGTCTTTGACCAAGTCGATTATTCTGGAGTCTGCAAAAGCTCTGGCGATGTCGAGGCAGTTTTGTTCTGAAGGACAAAAAAATATGGTCAGTCCAATAATAGGTGTAACTATCAGAGAGGGACAGCTTACAAAAATAACTGCTGTGTAACAAATATAACACAAATGCCTGAAGGTTGAATACTTTCTATGAATTCCTGTTGTGCACTCAAAACCAAATCTAATGGCTAATTTCCTATTTTTTCTTCTTCCTCAAAAATAAATTCAGTTATATTTCCATGTGTTATATAAGTATACAACAAAACCTATTCTAAATTTAGTTTCAACATTAGTATTTTTCAAATTAACTTTGATACATTTCAGATGTGCAATCAAACCTTTCTTGTTCTCTGCATTGACATTAGCACCCGCCTTGATGAGGAAGTCCACACAGGACGGTCGAGAGCTCTCAATGGCCCTCATGAGGGGCGTGCCTCCACTGAGGGCTTGGGCATCTATGGTGGCCCCGGCTTCCACCAGAAGTTCAATAAGTTCAACTTGGCCAGCGTGAGCTGCATGGTGCAGTGGCGTCCAGAAGAACTGGTCACACACATTCACATCCGCCCTGCCAAGAACAAGTATTATCACGGTTGTGTTTAAAGGGTTCCTGAACAGGACACTGAACTTGTTCCACATTGACATAAATCTGATCTGTGTATTTCCAGTCAAGTTTAAGTCTCAAGTATATAGTTAAAAACAAAGTACATTTGCTTTTACGTCTATTGTTTGTCTTTAGGTTTGAAAATGGCTCCTGCTCCTACTATGCAACATAAACCTTACTTTTTGTTTGTTTTACAGTGCATTTAAAGTTAAATGATTTTGGATTTTATTTGTAGTCTGCATTTTTTCAGCAACAGCAGTTATTTACAATCAGTTATCATCTCTCTATTTGTTTTAGTTGTTAGTGGCAGGGTCTGCCATTCCTGTGCTGGATTCAATTTGCCTACCTAGGCGAAAACAAATGACAGGAACAATGCACGCGTGCAATTCAGCATTACTGTTTGTAATGCTATGTATCAGAGCTGTATTAGGTTACTGCCAATACAAACCCAACCTTTCTTACTGCTGCCGCTTCAGCCAAATCACTTTAGGACTGATTGGTGTACCTATGAATATTATATTACATTTCTTCCAATAGATCCTCCTAAATGTTACACTCCTTTAAGCTTTAAGAATTATACATTTATACATGCAACATCAGATTTTTTAGGCCTTTACAATCCCAGAAATTACAAAGCAATATTATCATGTTTGCGGCCACCTTCAGCTGCTAAATGCTGCATTATGTTCACCAGCTAGTCTCTAACTGTGTCTGTCTGCCATTTGGTGCTGAGCAGGTAGTGTAGTGTTGCACGGTGCACCGATACTTCAAGAGTATCGCGATTCTCGGAAATTAAAAACGTCACGATTCCTAAATGTATTAGTATCGATACTTTTAAGAATGACTGCGTTCCAGATTTGTAAGAGACGTATTTCATGTTGTTGTGTGCAACGCATGCTTCCAGTGTCTCCCTATGGACGTCTGTGTTTTTTCTCCTCACGCACGCAGCAAAGAAGCTGCAGCTGTCATGTGACAAACATTATAACGAGATCGCTGCATGTGCGAGCACAAGTGATACTGTGGCCGCCGGTCCACGACTGGTAGAATAAGATGCGCGAAGAGTCAAATATGGAAGTACTTTGCCTACCTTGCTGACAGTGAGGGCAAAGATACCGATAAGTCGAGACCTGTTTGTCGTCAGTGTTACAAACGAATGTAAACAAAGAGAGCCAACACCTCGAACCTGGAGAAACACTTGGCCGACAAGCACGCCGAGTTGTACAAGGAGTTTAAAGACCGACAGGTTAGTATGTGAAAGATAACACGACCACGCTCATGCCCTTAAATAAGTCAAATGAGTAGGCTATGGTTTATTTTGTGAGAAGTCACTATTTTGCACCACCGTAGTTTAACGAGGCTATCTAGAGAAATAGTAGGCTAACTATGGGCATTATCCTCATGGCTAACCAATAGCCTGCCTACGGCTAATTCAACAGCTCTGAAAACGCAACTTTCACAGGTAACGTTATAATAATAATAATAATTTGCAAGCTGCTAAAATAAAGCATACAAAACATCAGCTAAAATGATCTATAGACTATATGATTATAATCAGAGCATGTGCATGTTAGTCAGTGATTTATTTATATTGGGTTATTACAGCATTTAAAGAGCACAGACCTACGCAAAGGAGGTGTATTTGTGAAACGCCTTGTAAGAAATGATGGACTCAAATATAAAGTTAACCATCAAAGAAATCAGACGTTGAAGTACAGGAAACATTAGCCTATATTAATCCATATATCACAGCTTAAATAACATTAGGTTAACTCACTATTTCCTATTATTAGTTATGGTAATGTTATGGTTAAGTAGATGTTAGCAGTTATCACTATAACCACTGCATATATAGATGTTAAGTTAGTCACAAGTTATTGTTACTATCACACAAACTATTTGGGTCCTCTGTTATGACAAATTTATCACCATCATATTTTAAATATTTCCATTTTCTTCTGCTACAGCAGTCTGGAGCCACGGGCTCAATGGCTGAGTTTTCTCCTCTGAAAGGAAAGGTTGCACAACTGACAGAATAAGTTACAATATCTGAGATATTGCTGCTAAATTATTATTTTTTTACCTTGAATGTCATTGCTCTGATTTATTTTTGATATTTCATATTTTGGTCAAATGTTTAATATATCTGCTGTTCATATGTTCATTCATTAGTGTGCTATATGATTAAAATCTTGTCCCGGTTTTAAAATAAAGCACAGCAATGATATTTGAGTGTTTCTCCCTTTTCAGGAAAAGTATCGAAAAAGTAACGAAGTCGCAGTTCTTGACTTGGTATCGGTATCGAAACAATAATTTCTGTATTGTGACAACACTAAGGTAGTGTATAGCTGCAACTGAAAATTACACTACGAGAGCAGTAAGAGTGACTCAAAACAGTAAAGTGGTGGACAAGACAGCCAAACGATGAGCTGAAAGACATTATAAAGTTCAGTAAAGCCAATAGGGAGCTGCAAATTCAAAGTTGTTCTGTAGGTTGATGACCAAGAGCTTTGACCTTGTCACATGGTTTTCAAATGATCATTTAATTCATTTTTTTAAAATATTGATTATAGGTGTAGCTATAGCTGTGTTTCACTTAATTAGTGTTTTAGTTACATACACAAATATAAAACAACTAAAACAAATGTCTGTATTGGTAAAAGTGTAAAACCAAAAGGAAAAGAAAAGTTGATCTTTCTCACCCCCGACTGAGGAGGTACTGAGCCACCTCATAGTTGCCACTGGAGCAGGCCGCCATCAGCGGGGTCTTGTAAAACTGATCTCTAACATCTACAGGAACCCCCTGACTGAAAGCGAGGTCCAGAGTCTCCAGGTCTCCACTTTTCACACAGTAGTTGATATTGACGTAGACCTTGTCTGGCTTTTCAAGGTACCATCCTGAGTCATTCATTATGGGATGTTCTGGTGGGTGATCACGGTCGAAACGACGGATGTCTGAACAGTTGTAGTATGTCTCAATCATGAAGTGGGGTGGGCCTCCGTCTGGTCGCCGGGGCATAAGCTCAGGCGGGAGGGTGCAAATGGGCATGGGGAGGACAAATTTACCTTTCTTCTTCCCTCCTTTTCCTCCCTTTTCTCCCTTTTTCTTTTTAGGCATATAAGAGGAGAGGAGGAATGGTTTCTTGATGTACTTGACACCTTTGATGAAATCATTAATGTTGATACAGCCCTCTCTTCCCTTGTCATGGGCTAAGATGACTGTATGGAGCTGGTCTAGCTCGACTGGAGCTTTTAGTTCTTCTAACACTGAAATAAACATCTCAGTGGTAACTGTGTCTGATTTGTTCCCAAAGGCTTGCCGTAATTCAGTCTCATACTCGTAAGACCAGTCGTGGAGTGTCAGGACCCAAAGGTCTGACATGAGGCCGCCCCCGCTGGATTTCTTGCCTTTTCCCTGTTGCCTCTCGGCTTTCCTTAGCTCCTTGGCTGCTGCTTTATGACCAGCGTCTTTGGCAATCTGACGTGGCAGAAAACCTTCCTGGTTCTTCAGTTTGGGGTTACAACCTGAACATAGAGTGCAGTTTTAGGAAAAATATAAACACAAGGTAGGATTACCTAATTTAATTTGTGTTTGCAGCTGCATATACTACCACTTTCTTTTTTTAAATACTTGACCATGCAGAAAATTTAATTTAATTTAATTTAATTTAATTTAGAGACATAAGTTTACAACATATATCTACGAAAAGAGACCAATAGAGAGCCTGTCTTAAGTAATCCCTACAGAATTAAGAGTTACCACAGAACAATCTTTGTTAACCAAAAAAGCTCAAATTCACTGCAATGACAACAGGATGCCTGTTATTGTTACTCTCTCACAGCACCTCTTTGTGCCAGGAACTTGCAGCAGTTAGCGTTGCCCGTGGCAGCAGCGTAGTGTAGGGGTGTGCAGTCATCCATGTTGATCACACCCATGTCTGCTGAGTATGCAGACAACACCTGAAGCACCTTGAAGCCACAGAGAAACACATTACAAAATCTAAAATCCCATTGCTAACAGTAGGATCTACTGTAATTTGAGTTAGGGCCTGAAAAAGAAATTTAGAAAACAGACGAAAAACAGCTAAAGTAGGAAGGCAATCACAATGCTATAATCAAATTAGTGGTTAAAACTTTATACTCTTTTATTTTTACTGCAACTTCATATTATTTAGTAATCTTTTTAATAATAAAAAGTGACACTGAGTGAGCAGATACTTCACCTCAAAAAAGCCCCCCATTGCGGCATAGTGTACTGCTGTGAGGCGTTTTTTGTCCAGGGCGTTAGGGTTTCCCCCTTTCTTGAGAATGGTTTGAACAAGCTGCAGGGATCCGACCTTGGCTGCCTCCATTAACGCTGTGACGCCGGTTTTCTGAGGAGACAACAGCTTGAATCGTATCATTGCTGCTAATATTTCAGCATCACACTGTGTTTTGTACTCAAAGAATAAGCTATCAGTTCTTACATACTCCATGCTTCTGCCTCAGTTCCCATAATGCCTTACTGTTATCCAATTTTTTACCTGATTTGTTGCATTAGGGTCTGCCCCTCCACCCAGCATGATGAGACATAGTGGGGTGCACTCCTGGGCTTTTTCACACATCAACTGGAAAACATGATTCCCCTGAGCTGACACATTGTTGGCATCTGCGTGGCACTTCAGCGCCACCTGCAGGCAGTGGGTGTGGCGCTTGGTGGGGTAGTTACAGTAAAACAATACACCTAATGTGAGAGGAGGAGAGAGGTACAAATGTTAATAAAGAGTGTAAAAGGTTCAGCTTTTGAAAATATCAACATCATTATTGTCATCATTATTATCTACATTGGGTCACATGCACATCAGATGTCAGGATGGCCGAGCGGTCTAAGGCGCTGCGTTCAGGTCGCAGTCTCCCCTGGAGGCGTGGGTTCGAATCCCACTTCTGACAGCACACTTTTGCATGCCAATGACTGTCATTTTGCTTGAGGAAGTACTGCATGCATTTCCGCAATGGGGATCAACAAAGGCTTATCTAATCTCATCTCAACACACCGTGGTCTTAATTTTGTGTGTTTGGCCCCAGAAATCTATAATTGCTCATGCAGGGTAGACACCCCAGGATCACATGCTGAACTGCCTTTTCAATTCTAACCTACTGAAATAAGCTTTCACTGGCAACAATGCTTTCTCTTTTCCTTTCACTTTCTTTTTACACACATTCACGACTGGGAGGTGCACAGTACAAACAGTCTGATCTGGCCACGGAGCAGCTACGCAGGGGCAGCTGGCGGGGTTGAAGGCTTTGAACAATGGTACTAAATCATGGTAATGAGGGAGGGGCAAGTGCTGCTCTTTCCCCACCCAGCCAGCCTTTATAATACTGAGGATAATACAGGCAAATGTGTGACTATTGACACTCAGCCTACTGGGGGAAAGGGCTTGGCTGTGAGTGTTGATACCGGCCCGAACCGGTTCTTGGATAGTGCAGGATGATATCAGGTTACTCAGCATGTTTCACAGGAAAGGATCACCATTAGTGGTTGATCTGTAATTAGATGTACCCACGTGCCCTGACACACACATACACACAGTCATGCACACACATACAAAATACAGTATATACATTATACAAAAGCATGCATTCATGCTCAAAAGCGCACACGCAAATGCTTTTCAGTCTAACTGACTTTGGTCAACTTTGGTTGTTTTAAAGTGCTTAACAAATAAAGTTGGATTGGATTGGATTGGATAACTCAACCTCTCTCTCAAAATCCCATCTGCAGTAATTGATGCCCCGGAGGAACTGTAATTGGGGTCATTATCACAATTGGTTTAAAAAGATCCTGAAGAAGAACTTTAGGCTTGCCGATTGGAGTTGTCCGGGATACAGCCTCCTCATCAATATCTAAACAGAACAGCATGCATTTTCATGAGTTGTAAGACAATGCAAGGTATTCAGAACGAACCTGCTGGTCTAACTTGAGATGGAAAACACTTCTATTTGAGAAATCGACACTTGAAGCTCGAATGAGAATAGGTCAGTAGAAGGGATGCTGTTCTGTTACCTCTTGCGATTAAAGCCATATCAATTATTGACATTATGGGTACATTTCTGCACATTATATAAGTGAGTTTTACTTGTGGATTGAAAAAAGATTTTCTGATAATCAAAAATATAAATGGCAAAAAGGCCAAATGTCTAACATTAATCAGAGCTGTCAATCAATTTCCAATCTTGTATTTTGAGATTTAAAGGATGCCCCTTTTACATTTGGACCATGGATTATTCCTTTAAGGCGAATTAACAGAAAAAGACACAGGGATGGCCAACGATTATATCTTTGGGAATCACACTAAGGTGTATCCCTTTATACAAATAGCTACAACTAACAATTATGTATAAAACAAATGAATCTGTAAATTATCTTTTAAATTAATTAATTTTTTTAGTCAAACAAATGTAATGTCTTCAAATTGCATATGATAGACAGTCAAAAACTCAAAGGTATCCACTTTAAGGGGATTTTAAATACTTAAGAATTTACAAGAAGCAAATTGTTTTTACCTGATAAATGACTCAAGTGAGTATTTGTTACCAACATTGATGAATATTCTGCCAATTATTGAATATATATAGAATGTGTGTGTGTGTGTATATGGATTTGTCTTCCTCTTCACTAAACCAACTGCATGCCTCTAATGTAGATCTGGCCACTTTTCTGCTCTTCTACTTTTGCTGTCTTGTATCTCTGGATCTCTGTTACTATGCACCTTCTACATAACATTCCTTTTTGATATTTTGTTATATAATGACATTTAAATGTTTTAGCCAATAAACTGTTTTTATTTCCCATCAGTGTCCGTAATAGTTTATCCCTGCTTGCTTTTAAAGTTGTTAAAATATGTGACTTATGATCTATAGTACTCTGTCCTTTCTGTGTAGATTTTTGGTTGCTCAGGTCTCTTACAATTTGAATATTTTAAACTCTGCAAAACCACTTGATTTAATAAAGTATTAATTCTGTCAAGTTCTACAATGTTCTCCCCACGTGTTTAATTTTTCCAGAACCAACCATCTGCACATGCCTGCTACTGCTCACCTTTGCCCTCGGTGTCTTGTAGCCTCAGGTTAGCATTGCTCTGGGTCAGCAGTGCTACTATGGCATCATTGCCCTGCTCAGCGGCTAACATGGCTGCGGTGCGACCCTTCTTGTCCTGGATGTCAGGGTGTGCTCCCTGGGAGAGAAGGAAGCTGACCAGGTCTGTAAGGAGTCAGGGAGAGCAGAGAACCAGTCAGGAGAAGGAAATAACTTTGGACAATAGTCTTGTGTACATGCACTCTTATCATTCCCGGACATTACTAAGGCTACTGTACAGTAATAAAGTCTCGTTGGCCACTTCCAAATGTGACCTAATTTCAAAAGGATCAAATTCCTACAGCATGCCAGTGAAGCACCTCGTTCTCTTAAATAGAGTGTATATAATTTGACAGAGTAAAGAAGACTCCCATCACCCTGATTGTTGGCTGAAACCGCCACATGTAGCACCCCTGTGCCGTCTTGTGGCTCGGTGAGATTGATGAGGTTTTCAACCCCGAGGTTTACCATCTTCTCTATCTGCCCCTTATCCCCTTCATGGACGCACTGCAGCAGACGGTAGATCTGAAGGACCTGCAGGCGGCCCTCTGCTACTCTGCCACTCATTACGGGGTCAGACAGGGGCTGCTGGAAAAAAGAAAAGAAAAAGGGAGACACAACTTCCTGACAAATACGCAGGTATACACGCTAATGACCAACGCCAGAAGCCACTGTGTAGCTATTTTTAAAGAAATAAGAAATAATTAAATAAACTATTTCATTCAGGTTTAGGCTTGGTTTTTACTTAAGTATTGTATAGTTGAAATCACTCAACCATGTCAAATCTCAGAGCACATATGTTGTTAGCAACAGTCTGTGGAGCCATTATAGTGAGCAGCCCCCTGCTTTGTTTTGGTAAGCAGTGCATTTTCACGGGAAATCCAGTTTGACCTCAATTTAACTTGACCATTGTTGACATTCGGTGACTTTCCTCTCTAAGACATTCCCTCCTGAAAAACGCGATTATGCGATCGCATAATTCAATGCATAATCAGCCGAAGTCCGCATATTTATGCGGGGGCCGCATTTTTTCAAATAGCCTACGCCGCACTTTCACCGCATAAATTGCCGATTTCCGCGCAAAATATGCGGGGCTTGCATGATTTCATAATCCCCGCATTTTCGTTGCAAAAAAGTCACATATATCTTAGCAGAAAGTTGGAAAATGTTGCGTTTACTTCACACAAGAGCAGCCATTTTCCGCTGTTGCCATGGGAACGTTATGAAGTGACGTAATTACGCGACGTGAACATCATCGAAAAGCTGCAAACCCCGCAATGAAGCCCGCAAATCAGTCTCATATTTTATTTATTCATTGTTACAGAAGTTGTAGCACATTCCTTTTGTAAAGCTACAGAACTTGTTTGACTCATCAATGTTTTGTAAGTTTGAGCCATGTGTTTATTAAGGTCTGAAATAAAACAAGATGAGAACTTAAATATTCCCAGCACTTTCTGTAAATATAATATAATAATAATAATAATAAATATCCCGCATAAACATCCCGCATATTCCATCGCATTTGTTAAGACAATGTGCCGCATAATCAAGGATTTTTGCCCGCAACAATCACAAAAAAACGCATTTTTCTGGAAGGACTGCTAAGAAGTAACTTAGTGTAGCAAATTTTCGGTCAGCTAACGTTAGGTCACTCCGTTACGTTACTTTAACTCCTATAACGTTAGGTAAGGTAGAACTGCAGCTAAATCACAAAGTGAGTCTAAATGCGCATGACTTTTCACAGCTACTGACCTTTTGACCCTCTAACGTTACTAAATATCACACATTTATTAAAAAAAAAGACAAACGAACGCTGTAACTAAAACATTTGGCGGTATACACAGTAAAATAAAAGGCATTATAGACAGAGCTTCAGTAACCATCACACCCACCTGCACACTGAGGCTGCAGGGATAATGTTAATGTTAGCTAGCCACCCTGGTTCCTTGTTGGGCACGCGCTTCTTACCGTGCTGGAAAAAGTCCTTAAAAGTCCATTAAAGTCTTTGTTCCTTGTTCTCCACGTACCCACTGTGCGTCTGGACAGCGAGGACAGTTACACCTACGCCGGGTTTCTCCACTTTATTTTAAAGCACAACCTCTCACTTTGTGTAAACCGGCAGAAAGAAACAAACTCAGCTCCATGGCAACGGAACGCGTGAAAATCCCGGGAAGGACGTTTAGTTCTTCGGTGTTGTCTGATGCTGCCTTCAAGTGCAGGTGATGAGCTCGGTAATATGAAGATTACAGCCCCAAATACGACTGCAGCAAGGAAATATGTAGGCTACATTACTGTAAAGTGTATTTTAGTTTGACTTATTTTAGTTTAACTACAACAACATAAATACACTTTGAAAAATTAAACTGAATAAACATAAAATAATAGGCTTACTTTACTTTACACAAGCCATGTATTTTCCCCTAAACGTCACATTTTAGCAACACTCAGGTGTCACAGAAATCCCACTTGTGTTGTATAATCCAGTTCAGATTATTTCTGACAGCACTGCATTCACTTTTCTTCATTGTTCACTTGGACCCCTGTTTGTTCCACAGAGTGATTGCTGGTCTTCCACACAAAACTCCCCACATAAACACTGTGTACACTGAGTACGTCCCTTCTTATCATGCATCCTTACATCCTCAAGCAGCCGAGGTAGAGTTACCGGTTCTTTGCCCTTGACCGCCAGTGCATAGATCAACTTACACAGTTTTGATTGTGTGAGTGACAGTGGAATGGCAGCTATTGAGTGCAGATGGGCTTATAAAGAGACATGTAATTCCCATTGATGAGTAATGAATGTGCAAAGAATGGAAGACAAGTGATACGCCTTCCTTCAAGGAACTCCTTAAAGTCTTCTTCAGTAGCAGCATCAAAGCCAGGAGGGTAATGATACTGAACACAAGGTGTCACTGAAGCGCAGCATAAGAAATGGATTCTTTTCAACTACCTCCTTGAAGTCTTCAGCTAAAATTAACCTACTGAAGTCAAGAGATGAGAGGGGTTTAAGTAGGAGCCAGGAACAAAAGTCGACCCAGCTGTGTGTATTTGCAAAAGCCAAAAAAGTGCCAGATTAAATAAGTGTAGTCCCAAGCAGGCTAAACAGTGTGTAAAACTGGCACATACTCACACATTTAATAAAGGAACAGAATCCAGATAAAAGTGAGACTGTTGACATCAGCTGTGTAAAACTGGGTATCTGTATTTCAGGCACACATGTGACAATAACATACAAAACATATACAGTACCTGGCAAGGTGAAGTGGTAACTCATAAAAATCTTGTACGGGCAAAATTGCTGAACAATATTTACATTCTTTCAAGGTTATACAATGCATAGGAACATAGAAAATGACATTCCCACACTAGGCACAGAGGAAACATTTTGAAAAATATGCATTGTGAACAAACCCTGATGATATTGCTTCATGTAATAATGTAAATATAATGCAGTATGCAGCCCATTCTGCTGTACTGACCTAGCAGAAAAGGTGCAATGTTCCTTTTGAAATCCATTCAAAAATATCTACAAACTTGATTTTTCTTCTTTAATTAGACTTCTAAAGGCAGTAAGTATGTGTAATCATGGAAGAGGTGGGATTTGAAGCATAGAAATAGCAAATATAGTATGTGTAGCTTCATTGTTTGTTATTATTAGCTCTACATGAAAAATCCAATGTAAGATAGACTGATAGTAACAGCTTCATGACTTTAAATACTTGATCCTCCACCAAGTTTAGATGGCCCTTATTAGGACAGAGTAAAAAAATCCCCCATTCTTCCTCCTGGTTATCCTCCGCCTGCTGCTTTCTGGGCATAGCTAATGTCCTAAAATGGTCTTATTGTTTTGCTGTTGTATGATTTATACAATCCTGTGGTTCCTCCACTGAACTGTCAGTGACTTCATTTGTGCATTTCCTTCTAAAGAATAGTGGTTTGGACTGTGTCCCCTCCGCCTACATCACTCTGCAATTTTTCCGAGACAATTGGCATTCAGCGTTACGTTTCTGGGAATTTTCTTGTGGTCAAATTGAAACTGTGATCATGAAGAAAAGAAACTACTTTAGAAAAATGAGGGTGCAATAACCTCTGAACATTTGATATGATGTGGGTGGATTACAAAAAAACAAACACAAAAACCCTCCAATCTAATGCTATCATCTTACTTTCATCAACACAAGTGAGACATGAAGGTTATCACGGTGTCATCAGTAAAGAATTCAAGTTTAGAGCCCAGCATGAAATATGGAATTATAACAGAACCTTGGAGTGGCTTTTACTGAACAAAACGTATACAATAAAAACACAATGGCTCTTTGCTCAAATTGTTTTCTTTAAAGCTGTGAAACACAAAAACTGTTTTCTTTCCTTCCTTCTTAGGACATTTAGTAAAATACAAACTATTTTCCTCCTTGCTGAATTAATCCAGTCCAGTTATTTCAGTCTCTCTGACTGTTCAGCCAGCGGCTCTGTCTCTGACAGTCAAGGAGACAAATTAGATGCTCTCATGCTGAAAGTTTCACCCAGAGAGACTTATTACAGCGAGACAACATCCAATCAGATGGTCTTGTACAGCAGCATCCCACTGAAGACGGTCAAGGGTTCCGAGGAGTAGGCCAGTTTGCCAGTGACAAGGTCGATGCAGACCGTGTCCCCTACCTCCATGGGAAGGATAATGTTGAAGACACCCAGAGCTCCAGGGATGTGTTTGGCCTCTGCCATCGGCTTCTCCAGGCCTTCAGGCTGATACCCAGCCGAGTCCACTCTGGCCACACCTGTGTTGGACTTGGACAACACGGCCTCGATCTTCATGTTCTTGTGGCCCGTAAGGATGCCGCTGAAGAAGTACTTCCCTTTCACTGGAGCTGTAAAATAACCTGGAGGAGGGAAGCAGGTAACAGGGAAGACTTAATGTTGTGTATTTGCTGTGTTATGACGAGCTACATAAGCAGCTTTCATGAACTTTGGAGGTCAATTAAATAATACCGGCTGGATCACATTACAAAGTCAATGAATGGAAACAATACAAAAGGGTCAGGTCATCCTAATTTTTTTCTTTTTTTTTTACTTCAAGTTGTATCTAACCATGCAGATAGGCCCGGGTTTGAATATGACCTTCGGCCCTTTGCTGCGTGTCATCCCCTCTCTCTCTCTACCCACCTTTCCTGTCTCTCTACAGCTGTCTCTATCAACAAAAGGCCAAAAAAATAACTTAAAAAAAAGATATAACAACTTTTAAATCATATCTGATTGATTTCCGTGAAATAAAACAAAATAACCACCCAACAAGAGAAAAAAAACACCTGAATTTGTGTGCCGGTAGAAGTTTCTGAGAGCGATATCTCAAAACATGCAAAAAACAACAACAAACCAAATGAATAAATAACACTTAGTGTACGTGAGAAAATATATTTCTTTGTCATGTGAGTGAATTTACCCTTTCATTTCAAATATACCTAATTTTCCTTGACGTAATCTTAAATAAGTTAGGAGAGTACTCATCTTAGCAGTCACCTGTTCAAATTCCAGCCGATCTAGAACTCACCTGTTCTGGGATCGTAGACTTTATTTTCATTGACAAAGACCTCGTTGAACACTATGGTTCCTGTGCTCCTCATCGGGCGAGTCAGTGCAGCAGAGAAAGAAAGGCGGGGCACATGGGCATCAGACCCTGCAAGACCTGATCGCGGAGGAGAGACGGAGAGTAGGAGTTAGTATGAAACACAGATCAAAGAGCAACGAGTGCTTTGATGTGCTGTTTAGTAATAACAACACATACCCTGTTCACCTCTGAGACCTGAGAAGCAAGATAAAAGATAAAAAAACAGAGTTAATTATCCAACAATGTCACTCTTGCTGTTTATTTTTCATTCTTATCACAATATATCTACAGTAGAAGAGAAGATCCAAGAAGCTTGTAAATCAGTAAATGTTTTTATATTAAACAAAGTGCAATCAAAGAACTCCAAGACAAAGTTTGTTGTCTCTACCTGGGGGTCCAGCTGGTCCCTGCTTGCCCTCCTTGCCTGGAGGACCCACCCTCCCTTGGGGTCCTTCAAGACCCTGAAGTCCACGCTCGCCAGTCTCTCCGCGGGGGCCCGGGAGACCAGGTGGACCTGGAGGAGAGGAATGTTTAATGACAGCTGGGAAACACCACCCTCCTGAAAATCCTCTTTACGAGTATCTCTTAGAAGAATTCTAAAAAACATAGCAGAGTAAGCCAAGAGAACTGTGACATTTAACCTACTGTGACTCAGGATGTGCCCCTCAACCTCATGTTTACTAAAACTCCTCTTCCAGACAGATTGCAGACTTTATTGGCTCTGTAAGTGAGCTGCTTCTCAGGATGACAGCCTGGATTCTATTTTCCCCTCACCCCGGCCTTGCCTCCCTTCTACTCAGTGCTAGCTCTCAAAAGTCAAATCCCATGCCCTCCGTCCTCTGCTACTCACCCATAAAGTCCTGCTCTATGAAACTGTGGAACTCCTTGACCAAGTCCACCACCGAGGAGTTCAGTCTGTGTATGTTGGAGTGGACTTTCTCCAGCTGGACGTTCTGGATATTGTTGATAAGATCTCCTTGAGACGTTACAGTGACATTGAGTCCATTAACGCAGGTCCACAGCCCAGACACATGTCGGTTCAGGCCCTCCTTGATCCTCTCCAGGCTGTCTGAAAAAGAGTCGAAGCGGCCGCACACTCCCTCCAGCTTGGAGAGTCTTCGGTCCAGGCCGTCGCTGGATCGCCGGCACTCCCCCACCTCCGTCACATAGTTGCTCCTTATTATTTGGATCTCTTTGTCCAGATTGCCGAATCGGAGCTTCGAGTCATCGATGTGCTCTGTCACCTCCTTCTGCAAGTTGTCCACCTTGTAGAGGAATGTGGATACTTGTTAATGTGTGTATTTTGGTTGAGTCTCTTTTGACAAAGTTCTAGTATAAATATACTTTTTTTCCATCTTTGCTCCAATTTATTTTTACTATGGTATCTTATACACACAAAAATATGTAAGCATATTATCTAAGCCATGTCCGTCAAGAAGATTCGTGTTTGTAATATGCTCAGATATTTTCCTAACTGTAATAATATTATGTGAAAACACTGTGGCCAAGATAACCATGCAGCGTGTTTGATTGACATATTGGTTTTTTTACAGCCCATAAAGAAAAGATATTTTTCAGTATGTGCAGTTTCATGAAACAACACATAGATCATCAGCACCATTACCATCACCACTGTCATAACGGTAGCTGAGGGGCAAGCTCTACGTAATATAGTACAGTGTCTCCAAACCTGGGGCTCCCGCCCCCAAAGGGGTAGTAAAATAAATCTGAGGGGTCGCAGGATTTTCTACAAGGAACAAGGGGAATAACTCATATTTTGTTACACAAATTAGATTTTTTTTTTTTTTTGCCATGCTAGCAGCATGGCTCTCTGTATTGTGGATTTATGGTGAACCACTTTGATCCACACTGAAATAAATTAACTACTGGATGGATTGCAATGAAATTTTGTACAGATATTTATGGTCCCCAGAGGATGAATCATACTGACTTGTGATCTCCTGAATTTTTATCTAGAGCAACCAGCAGGTCAAAACTTTCCCTTATTGAGTAAAATATCTTCAAATCAAGGCCTACATGATGAATTTGTACAAACTTAAAATATCCCATCCTCTGGATGAATTGTAATAATGCAAGTAAGCCCATTTAGCACCATCATCTCATCATAATACTTTGGTTTATGATCAAATACCTGAAAAACAAATGTCATTCCCATTCCCTGTTTAGTAGTATAGTAAGCTAAACTAAAATTGTAAATATGGTAAGCATTATACTTGTTTAGCATCAGTATGTTACATTGTCATTTTTGACGTTATCATTGAGCACAACGCATCTTAATGTCCTAATACTTGCCAAGGAAATTTCCTGGAAATAGCTACCATGTAATTATGATACTTGTTTTAGGAAAATAGAGAAATGTTCTGAGATAGTTATTAAAGTTCAATTCATTTTTAGCATTTAAGGACATAAAAAATGCATACTCTCCAGGCCTTTTTAAAATCTT